AAAAACCTGACATGTAGTTAATGAAATGCAAATTAAAATTGCATGTGAAATTAATAATGAAGTGGCTTTAATGTATGTTCTATATTGTTCTAAAGCAGGGGTCACCAAACCTTTTGAGACTGAGAGCTACTTTTGGGGTACGGAGTATCGTGAAAGGGCTACTTGTTCGATACAAACATAAAGTGGCACAACTCACCTTTAATTATATTGTTATTATTAATAATAAATTTATACATGTGAATATTTGACTCCCTGATTAGGAACAAGGTGGAATTTCCTTTTTGGCTCTTAATTCCTACTAAGTCTTGTAGATACAATGCTCCCCATAACTGTGAAAATAATTTGTTCTCCTTCGTTTTAATGCTTCTTTCCCCTCTACTCAGGAGGAGTGAATCACCTGTTTTCTGTGGGTTTAACGTGAGATAACAGTGACATTTGTTGACATTATTTGKAAAGTGTTTTGTTAATAAAAGCTCAGAGGAGCACACGGGTGACTTTGGTTCCTTTTTTAATATTTAAATTAGAGCGCTGCTTCTCTGATCAGTCCATCGGTGCTATTTTTTGAACGTGTCCTGCAGGCGACTCAGAAGGGGTCTGCGGGCGACCTGGTGCCCGCGGGCACCGTATTGGTGACCCCTGCATTAACGTTTGATACAAAGTCTGTTTGATACAAAGTCCGTCTACAGTCTGTCTCTCTACAGACTGTAGGACCCGCCCTGCTCTGCTCTGATTGGCTAAAACTGTGACTCTGGTTCTCTTTATTGGTTGAAAGCAGCGTCAGTCAAATCCAGCCAGATAGAAGCCCCCGACAACACACGTTTTTTTCTCTCTCTCCTCTTCACCTTTAAGAAATCCGCAGCGGAGACGAAGAAATCCGTCCTGCCTGACAAAACTTAAGACCCTTGAGTAACGTATTCAAGACTAACTTACACATTATTCATAAATTCAATACTTTTAAAGACCCTTAATTTTAGAAATATGAATATAAGACTTTTCAAGACTTTTCAAGACCCCGCAGACACCCTGCCATATAAATGAGACCCTGAGTCAGACCCAGAGGCAGAGTTGTGGTCGCAGTTTTTTTTTCTGCCCCTCCTCTGTCGGAGCTCTGCACTCACTCTGCATGCTGTTACCAGGGCAGGTAATTGGAGCAGCAGTGGTCAAAATACCTCAGAAACTCGAACAAATGGGCTAAAGCTAAAAACAATAGAGGTACAGGAGAAAACGTGTTCATAACGAACGAAAATAAATAATTAAATTGTTTGTGTCCATGTCAGTCTCGAACCCTGATCTCCTGCTCTCTGGTCCAACACTCTACCCATTGCTCTATTGGAGGCTTGTTGTGAATTGAGCTACGCATTGCACAACAACAACGTGACGGCTTTTTATACTGGAGGTGGAGCCTCACGCAGGGGTTGCTAGGTAAGGGGCTGAACACAGGTTCCGGTGGGTTGTCGTACGGCTTGTGACATCACAAAATGTAGGAAGTATAAAACTTGTCATTCATATTCATTAAAAATACATTTACTTACAGTAAATATGCCCCTGGGTGCAGTTTTTTGGTCCTAGGACTGTTTTTTTAAGAAGTAAATACCCAAAGTTGAGTAAAAAAAAAACTTTAAAAAGTGAATTTTGCATAATAGGTCCCCTTTAAGTTAAGCAAGAAGTTGACTAGAAGTTGTCCATGTGAATGAGAATACAATGTGCGTGACAAACAGAAGAGGCTGGGTGTCAGCTTCTGGAACTTACCTTGGCCCATACTGGGAGGAGAAGGGGTGGGGACTGCAAGGGGGACACCAACTCCACTGCCTCCACTGTTCTCCCTGCCGCCGCTACCCCCGCTGCTGCCACTGCAAATACAGCAGAAACATTTTTAGCCGATCACCAGAGACAAACACTAATTACACAACAGGGTTTGACAACATGTCATTTACTCTCTAACGTGTCATTCTGCTTGAATAATTGTCTCATCGTTGTGGCAACAGATTCACAACTCTGCGATGCATGTGTACAACTTCAAACAGGTTAAAACAGTTGGTTTTATGAGTATCAACATTACAGTCCTGCCTGAACTTGATTCCAGGTAAGTTTTCTTTTATATTTTGTTTGCGGATGCTACCTGTGTGTGCGGGGTCTCTGGTTGAGTGAAGCTGTGCGTGCAGGGCTGTGCTGGTTGCCCAGTCTGGCCGGGCTCGTCATGTAGTCGTTGGGCACCACTGGGGGCTTCACAGGCTCCAGAGTTTTGTAGGGAGTGTTGCGGCTAGATTCAGACAAACAACACAAAGAAGGAAAGCAGAAATGATCAATATAATAAAATCAAGGAGAAGTTAGAAAAAAAAATGTTCTGACTAGGGGTGTAAGAAAATATCGATATACTAAAATATCGCGATATTTCATTTCCCGATACTGTATCGATATTCTAAAGCCCTGTATCGATTTTTAATTAAGGTTTAAAACGTCAACTTTCCTGCCAACGGTTTATTTTTATGTCATAGTTCAGCCTCTGACTTGACAGCTAATTGGCAGTAGTGAGCCAGCCATTTGGCTCCTCCACTTCTGAGGAGCCAGAGAGTAAGTGCAGCATTAGCATCGTGAGTAAACATTAGCATCATGCACCGATAGCTGAATCAGAGCAGAAAAGACCGACTCCCTCTGCCTTCTAAGCTGAGGTAAGGTTACGAACAGTTACTTATTTGCCAGAATGTCTGTATTTTAAGCCAGACTGAAGTGTCTCGTGCACTCTTTTTCCAACTGTAGTCAGCCGTCACGTTACGGAAGGCAGGCATGCGTCTAGCACCATGAGCTCAGTGCTCCCCTCTTAAGATGCCCCATGACAAAAAATGTCCGGCTAATCGCGTCCAAGTCCATGATACTTTGAGTTTATCCTGCTGTGCTCGCTTCAAAAACAGTTTTGTTTTAAGAGATTTAGCTATGTTGTTTAACTTCTCCATTTTTTTTTACTGGTTTTGGGACCTGCCCTGCTGTACTGTGTATGACTTCGACTCACAGTTATGCAAATCACGTTCTGGATGCAGGTCAGCTGATCCCATAAACTCTGTGTGCAGCAGCTTTGTTTACTGAACTTGACATCATATAGGCTATTTTTAAGTTTGTTGGGTGACCATATTGTTATAGTAAATTAATATTAAAATCTAAACGCTGCAAAAAATATATATTTTCAAACTATTTATTAGCAAATTTAGTCTAATAATTGAAAACATGGATGAAATAAGAAAAATGAAACAAATACAGTACATACAAATCATACTGAGTTTTTCATTTAATAGAAGTTTTGAACAAAAAAATGCAATATATTGCCTTGCTTACAGTATCACAATATATCGTATCGTGACCCCTCTGTCATGATATTTATCATGTCTCCAAATTCTTGCCAGTACACAGCCCTAGTTCTGACACTGCTCATAAATACAACCAATTTTCGCTTGTTTGTCGGTGGTGGAAATCTTTCATCTGGTTTATCTTTATAAATGGAGACTTATTTCACTTGGATTGAACCATTAACTTCTTACCCAAGAGTACCCCGACCTGCCATAGGAGGGCTTGGAGGTTTCTGTGATGGTGGGTTGGTCCTGGAAATGGTCCCTCCTCGTCCAGCTGAATTGTTCCCATGTTGCTAAAGAAGCAAAAACAGATATTGGAGCAGTTGTTGTCTTATCTGCTTTGCTGAAACCAAGACTTTCATCTCCTTCAACATCAATTCACTGGGACGTCATTTTAGGATGTAAAGCAAAACTTGATGTAGTTTTATACATATATATTTATTTTCCTTTTTCTTTACTTTTTTAGCTCCACTGGAAAGAAAACATAAAACTCCTCTAAAAAAGATAATCATGCTGTATTAAGTGTTGACAATTATTCATAGCTATATGAATAAAGACATGAATATGTGGCTATTTGATAATAAATGCTGTCAATCTGAAATATAAACATTTAATGCAAGCTGAAAATCTCTATAAAAATTGTTGGTTTGTGTAAATTAAAACAATAAACAATATTACTTTGTAAAATTGCTTTAAATAAAGTTAGTTTCTTAAATAAAAAAATGAAAATACAAAAACAACAATGAACAAATGAACACATTGATGCTATAATTATGTCTAACAGATGAAGAAGAAAAAGAGGAAGCACAAGTATGTCTTACCTTGGCTTTAAGCCACTGGTTGCCAGTAGACAAAAAAGGAGACAAAGTTGGTTAGACAGTACAAAAAGCAAGTTTTATTTTAGTCATATTAATAAAATGAAATCTTACTGCACTAATAACAGACACTGTTTACTTTTTACAACAAAGACAAATGTAAAAAAAGCAAATAAGAAACTACTGGAGTGAAAAATGGTATTAAAAGGCTAATATATGTAAATATACAAGAAGGTTAAAATTCTGTACAATTCTACTTTAAATTTATTTACTCCAATTAGAAGTCACTGCTTGTTTGTGTATGTTTTGTTACTATGTAAGGCATTTTTATCTTCTGAAGACCCACTGCTCCCAAAAATGACATTTGACCTTATGTGGCCCAGATTTTGGGCTCCATAAGTCCTTTTTGGGTTAGGGGTTAGGTTTAGGACCAAGGTGTGAATTGAGTTAGGGTTAGGTATGAAATGAGAGTGGTTAAATTTAGGGTAAGGATCAAGTTTAGACTATAGAAATGAATGGAAAAGTCAAAGGAAGTCAAAGAAAAGTCCTGGTAAAGATACACAATGTTTGAGTGAGTGTGTGTGTTGGCTACTCATATAGAGGGACAGATGGATTGTCTCTGTTAACATTAGGTCATTACTGCTGTCCCTTGTGCATTTCTAAGCATACATGCCAAATTGTACAGACTGTCTGTACATTACACAGATTTTCCACCATTTTACGTCTACAGATGTATAGAGATAATTTCACAGATTTTTTCAGAATCTCAGCTTTACCTTAAATTTGCATCTCCTGTAAAGATATGCAGCAAACAGCAAAATATGCTGCTAATTTGCGAATGATGCAAACTCCAAAACACACAAACACGAGAAAACACATGCAACAAAATATGCTGCAAAGGAAAAATTTTTTAATTCTAATAAATAGGCCAAATCAACCAAACAAACAAATGCAAAGGCAAAAATGTTGCAAACACCAAAAACACTTAACAAAAAACAGAACTAAATTTAAGAAATGCTGGAAACTTGCTCCACAAAACAAAACTGCACTCTACCACCACGTCATTTAGAGACTGTTAGATATATCTAGAACAGGTACTGTGTTTCCAAGGAAGTTATTTTTTAGCAAAGCTAAATAGTTTTGGAAAAACTGAATTTACTTCTGGAATAAATATTGAACAGCCCCAGGCCTTTTCCACAAGTAAATTACTTGTGGACAAAGCTGTTCAACACTTATTCCACAACAGGTAAGATAATGCCCACAGGGTTGCCAGATATTGTGAGAGGGAGTCATGTTGGGGGTTGTTTCCTGAAATCCACTGTCATCTCCACAGTTCTGAGAGTATTTAGCTCCAAGTTATTTACCCTACACCAGAGCACCACGTGTTCAACCTCCATCTGATATGCAGACTCATCCCCGTGAGTCCAGTGTGGTGTCGCCTGTAAACTTTAAGAGTTAAACAAAACCTGTAAACTTTAGGAGTTAAACAAAAAGGTCGTAGAGCAGTGGTGACAGTAGGGCTGGGTGATATGGCCCAAAAAAAATCTCAGATTTTTTTCATCCCAGATTCGATTTTCGATTTTAATCGATTTTGTTTCCCACTTAACGGAGTGCCTCTGTTTCAGCTGTTGAAACAAATTTGTTGTACTCCTGCTTTTTGTATCAAGAGCCTTCAAACAGATTTTGCAGTGAGGTGTTCGGTTGTGAAACCTAACCAGCTCCAGAAAACTGAAGAAACAGTGCCTTTGTTTGGGAAGTAGATCCTCTCTGCTAGCTGTCATATTGTCCTGTCATGTACCAAGCATCTTGAGGAACAGGTGGGGTGGCCTCTGAACTACAGAAGCCCCAAAGAGTGTATTGGTGAGAAAAAAATCTCCATTTTCCTAAAATTAAATCTTTATAAATGGCAAATTCAAATTAATCGATTAAATCGATTTATCGCCCAGCCCTAGGTGAGTACACATCCTTGAGGAGCCTTTGTACTAACTGTGCGAATACGGGAGGTCTCCTCCCACTGCCTCACTTGCTGTTCCCTACCTGCCAGAAATAGGGTTGGGCAATATTGGCAAAAAAATTTAATCACGATTAATTGTGGTATTTAGCCGATAACGATTAATTTGACAATTAATCCCCTGGAGTCCCTGGACACCCTCATGTCCTGGTCACATGACCAATTTAGTGGGAAAGATTTGCTCTTCGTAAAAATCTGTTCCAAATTGTGTCAAAATTAAAGATATCAGGCTATACATCAAATTTTAAATTGTGTTGATAGATAAATAAATTACAGAACTTTTTTTTAAATGTTCGTCTTATTTGATGCAGAGAGGAGCACCGAGCGGACTCTGCCTGGTGGCATTTATCGTCTTAATCGTCAAGTGGTGCCAAATAATAATCCATTAATGTTTTTCTGACCATTAATTGCACACGATACGATTATGCCCAACCCTAGACAGAAAGCTGGTTTAGGGTTGGGTTAAAAATAATCAATTGAATCAATCTTGGATCAATTTCATTTAAATTTGGGAAAATCGATTCATAGGGCATGACATCGATTTTCCTCCATGGCGTCTTGTGAGTGATGACATTCAGCGCTAACGTTAGCTTCTGACAACAAGTTGTCTGGGGCAAAACAAAAGAAACTAAGGAATCACTAACATTACCAGCTGACTCTCCGCAGAAAGATAAACATAACAGAGACCAACTTTTATTTACAAAGATTTACGCCTGTACACGGTAGAGGAAAACGAAGCTTCGAATGGCTTGTTCAGGTACTTAAGACCAAAACTACGGTATGTAAACAACTGACTGATACTGTTCTCCCCGGCATGTATAAATGTGTGAAAGACGACATTCTAGCAAAATCTTTTCGTTTTTCAAACCCAATCAACAACATTTTCACCAGTAAAATCTTTAGTTGTGTCTTAGCTGCATGTGCTTTAAAGTTTGATTGACATTTTGATGTGGCCCACTGATGTTTTACGTGCTACTGGGACATAAACTAGGCCATGAGGCACAGTGATAAATAACAGTAAACCATCCGGGGAGGATATAATGTGTCACTGAAACTGTGTTACCCTGGTAACCCCTAGAAATGCCGATAAAGGTTATTGAGGCAAAGGGAGTGAGCACAGTCAAGCATGCATATGTGAATGTGTCTTTCCAGACATGTCTGAATTCCCAGCTCTTTTGAGCTGAGCTCCCCTGGACATGAGGGAAGAAAGATAGAAGGGGTGATGATGAGGCAATATTCCACAGCCAACAGGAAGCATGTAAGTCTGGAGAGCCAACAGGCTGACTGCAAATAGTGGTTCCCACATAGAACGAACATACTGTGGTTGTGTAAGTGTCAAAACCAAAACTGCAAAAAATTCCCACATGCATGAATTGAAATACAACTCATTATAGAGAATGGCTCTGGGTAACGAGGGCTGTAGCCGTTAATCCTTCTGAATTATTCACAGATGTGTGCAGAAGAGAAAGACAAAGTAGAATGTGATGTGCATTTCTATCTGATCCAGACAAATACACATCCATGAACACACACATGCACACACACACGGCTGGAAAGAGATGCTTTAAAAAGAGACACATGAAAAGGATTCAAACTAAATTTCTAATATTTTATCACAAACCAAACTACATTTCCTTAATCAAATAAAGACTCAAAGTTTAAAATTGTATAAACGTTTGAGTCATATTTTCTGCAGGTAGTTTGCCTATAAAATATTGCTGACATTTTTTGGCACTTCCACTGATCTGCACTGATTTCTACAGAGATTTATCCATTTTCTGCATCCTCGATTGATGCTCGATTTGCATAGTGAGCCATGCCAAATCTGCCTGAGCGTGAGCCAGCTCTCAGAGGAAGAAACACTGGCTTTTGAATTTGAATCAGCGGATGTTTGAAAATCAGCGGACGGCCGATATCTTAACACAGACCGACCGAGGGGGGTGGGGGGAGGGGGGGTTCAAAAACTGAATCAAACACATTACACGCATGACTGGGTGGACACTCACAAACACAGAACATTTTTAAATTGAGAAAGAGCGAAAGAATGAAGAGAGGGAAAAAAACAGGTATAGAGTATATACATTATATAAATATTTAATGAAGTGAAGGAGAGCTGAAAGGTTTCTTTTTCTTGTACTCAACAGTGGATGTGATGGAAGGAGTAACACTTGGCAAAGATGTCTCCCTCTAGCTCACACATTTACACCCACACACCAAATAACTTCCAGCTTTAAACTGGGCACAAAAACATAAATCGTAAATCCCTTTCAGCTACAGTAAAAGAGATTATAGTTATATTTACTGATGTTGCTGATGTTCCTGAGCTAAGAAATTAACTATACAACATTCTGTATGTGTTGTCTTGGGGTGTAACTAATATTTGTGTCTTCAGTGTTCTTTCATTTACTAAAAACTACTTGTAAAGATATAATAAAGATATAAAAGCTTCTTACTTTGACGCCGTGTCCAACATCGTCTAGCAGAGTGTAGTCAATGGGTTTCCGGATGTAGCGCACAGGCCGCTCCATGTTTGCCGGAGCGATGATCTTGTGGGTGCGAGAGGTGTTCTTATTTGTGGTCAGAATACCAATTTCTCGACGTGCCACCTTCTCCTTATGAATGTCCACTGTCTGCCAGAAAGAAACATGAGACAAAAACCTTTGTTATGGAACTAAACACGTGCACTTTTCTGTTTCTTTTCATGAGTTTGAAAAAGTTCTAATTTTCTAATGAGGAGCCTGTCTGGACAGTTTCTGTTCCAACTAATTTTATTTCAGTATCTGTTGTTTTAACTTTACTGCATTGTTACAAATTCAGCAGAGGAAATATCTGACCATTACTTTAGTTAGCACCATAATATTTAAGATGATGAAAATGATGCAGAGTAATTGTTATGATTTATTTTTTGTTCATCAGAAGTTGCAGTAAATTTTGAGATTTACTGTCCTGTTCTGAGGCCAGTTTCAAAGAGCTCACATTTAACTTTTTATTTCAAGACTAGCTGAAAATGCCAATAACATACATCAGCAGTTTCAGTCATTATCACATGCAGGAGGCACCTACAAGGACTAGACCTACGTTTATGAATGATAAATGACACTTTAGGAACAAGCAATGTAAGGATAAGGGAGGGAGTAATGAAGAATAATGAGTGTGTGGCACTGAAATTAAGTATATATAAGCAATTATGTTAAAATAAAGTCCAGACTATTTACATATCAGAACACAAGAAACCAAATCTTCTTGTGTTTGATGCATTTTAAAATTAGGCAAGTACCTCAGAGGATAGTTAGCAGAATATCAGCGTAAAAATTAACAGAGACTATTTCGAAAAGGGCAAACAATGTGTGAAAAAAACAAGTTAAACCGAATGCTTATTCAAAAATTAAAAGGGTTAATAGCAATCAGGTGCTGCTAATCAAAAGCATTGAATAATGAATCATATTAGCAACTGTGAAAAACTCTAAAAGTAGAAGTTTTGAAAGTTTACACATACACATGAAAGACGTCAGTAAAGATCTTATAAAAGTAACTGTTGTTGCCTGTCATTTTGGGAAGGGTTATAAACGACATTTAAACATGTCGAGGTCAGTGAGAAAGACTATTCCTAAGAAGAAAACTGTCAAAATAGCTGCCAGTCTGTTCAAGAGTGGATGTCCCACCTGCAAGTACACATCAAGGTCAGACTGCAACCCTCAGCGAAATCACAAGAGCCACATCTTAGGGTGTATTCAGACCAGGAAAGTCCTTTGGTCCAATTGTTTGGTCCGGACCAAAAAATGACCTTTTTTTTTTTCGTTTGGTGCGGTTTGCATTCACATTGTGCTTTTTTGCAAATGAATTATAACTTGTAAGCAAAGCCATGAGGCTGACGATCATTGCTCCCATTGGACAAAAAAGGACGGGGGCGGGACTGAGCCACAGATCCAGAAGAAAACAAGGAAGTCCTGCATGCTGCGGTTCTGATGAGCACATTTTTGCTGATAGTACAACTGCAATAGCATTTAAAATGTCAGAAGCAGCTAATTTAATGGTGGTTTCATGATGATATTCTAATTTTGGAGCGGCGTCAGTAAATCTGTCCCGCAACCCAAAGGAGACGAGGTGCTCTGCGTGTTCTGACCCACAACATGCCGGCAGCAGAGCTGCTAACAGGAGACGACGAAACAGGTATGATTTCAGTATATTTAGCTCAGCAACGGTGGCCTGTGAAGTCCAAAAAGGTGCACGTTTAATGCAGTTGGTTCGGTTAGAGTCCAGTCTGTATTCACACCAGAAGCAAACTGAAGTGAACCACCAGAGTTCGTTTGGAAGCGGACCGAGACCACCTCAAAAAGCAGGTCTCGGTCCGGTTGTTTGATCTGCACCAGTGTTCACATGAATGTATTCACACCTGCACAAAACTCCAGACCAACGCTGGAAACGAACTCTGGTCCGTTTAAAGCGGAGCAAATTATCAGGTCTGAATACGACCTTAGACTCTATATAGGATAAATGTTGCAACGGTCCAGTCAAAGCCCTGAACAGGACCTCAGGAGAACTGTTCAGAAACAAATACTGATGCATTAATGATCTGAAGCAATGTTGTAAAGAAGAGTGGGTCAAAAATCCTCCACTGCCAGGGCCTGAATGGTTCAGACAAAACAGTTACGACTGTTTTTAAAAGATATTTATTCACATGGTTGACTTCTCTCCAACTGCTTCATCATTATGAAACAGTAAAATTTCATGGGGTGTGAACTACATAAACACCATTTGACCAGATAAGACCAGATGAGCACCAAGTCACAACAAATGTTGTCTCAGGGCACTGTACAAAAACATTCACGTACATCATAAAATCCACTTAGTAAAAGGTATGATCCGCAACAGTCGGGTTCTTTAATATGAAGCCTGTGTCAGCTGAATGTGAGACAAATATAGAAAAAACATGCTGGACCCTTCTGTTAAGAGAGGAAACCAATATTCCACACCCAGCTTTAGATGGGAAGTAAGAAAAAAAGAAAAAAGACGCACCTATTTCCTGCCTGTATTAAACGAGAAGAAATGGTGATTAGAAAAAGTGAGAAAAACAAAATGCGGCTCTGGAGACAAGAAAAGTGAAAAAAAAAAGTAGTGTTCTGCCAATGTTAAAGAGAAAATGAAGAAGGGAATAACTGGAGATGGGATTACCAATAGGAAAATTAAAGGGGGGTATGTATTTTCCAGGCACATACTTCAATTTTATACCACAACCAAGTAACCTATGTTATTTATGTCAAAAATAGATCTGACTTCGCATGAGTCTATCTAAACAACCATGAAATTGGCATTTGTCTCTTTAAGAACCTCCTACCGATTCAGACATTCCCACTTCAGCACATCTTCAAATAATGGTTCAGGGGAGGGGTGCTCTGGGGGGCAGGAGCTCGGCTTAAGACTGAGCTCCAGAGAGGAGCTTTGTACTAATAGGCGGTGCTTTGTACGAGTAAGCATTTAGGCAGCTCCAAATGGCTAACACAGGAGATTGAAGGATTTCTCAAACATGCAAGCAGGGGTGCACCAAAAAATCGTTTTGCATCAGGATCGATTTAAAATTTCCCAAAATCGATTTTTAAATATTAAAAAAATAAAAAAGAAATAAAGAAAATCCAAAGGTTGGGTATGCATGCACAGAAAGCACCAAAACAAAGAGGAAACTACAAAACTGTAGAGATTCAACTGACCCCGTCTATACTGAACGCAAATATTTGGGCTCTTTTTGTTTTTTACAGAATGAGTCTGAGTTTGACCTGAGCTTCACTTTGTGCAAAATTTGCAAAATGAAGATGAAGCACTTTAGGAAGACAACAAATGGGCTCACATTAGTTTTGAATGAAAAATCGATTTTGAATCGTGACCCCGGAAATCTGAATCGTGAGATAGTAAAAGATTCCCACCCCTAATGAATGAGTCAAGCAACACTCTATTTTTGATAAAGCAATGACAATATAACATAATACAAAGCTCAAAAACTCAATTTTGCATAATACCCCTCCCAAGAGTAATCATTCAAACATACAAGGTGCATAAGCTGTTCTGCAAGCAACAACAGTTGTTATAACCATTCATCCTGAGTCTGAACTGTTTCTGCAAAAGAACAAATACACTCAAACAGGAAAAATTAAAGTGACCATCAACTTTATTTCAACATCAGAACAAGTACTGCTAAAGGCTGCACTATATGTAAGAATCTGTGTGAAACTTAAGAGACATAAAAGCTCTTATCTAATCACTGATGACTGTCTGCTCTTCCTGTACTCTCTCAATCTCATTTTCTTTTGTAATCTTGACTGTAACAGACATCTGCTGCCAGATGAACCTCTTCTGTGTCTCTGGGAGCAGATGGTTCAGACTAAATAATCACTACTGGACCTTCAATGTACATTTTGCCTAATAAATCTAACTTTATAATAGCAACAGCATATGCTGAATCATTACTGGAGACAAAAAATGTGTTACTTACTATCATTAACTTAAACTTTGTGGACACAGATTTCTCAGGTAATCTTTTAAAACTAAAATGTAAAATCCAGGATCCAAATGTGCTGCACTAAAGATCTGAACTGAAATCAAGCTAAAAGAAAGACACAGGAAGTGGTTCACTGAGGAAATAAATCTAAAAATAAATGAGAAAGTGAGACAAAAAAAAGTTGCATTGATGCAGAATTAAAAGACAACTTGATCAAGTTATCCTCCTTTGTGGTAAACGCATGTATATTTTTAGGCATGCCTATCTAATCTAATTTTAGAACCACAACTCTGCTTTTGATTTTAAGTTGATGTCGCTTTTATAGTTTTATTCCTCCACAGCCTCCTTTCATGGGATTTAAATAAAAATTGGACATGGCACAGTTTTTTGTCTTCTGTCTGTTTCTAAACTTATTTTAACTAATTCAGCTGAACTAAGCTTGAAGCTCAAGTTTAATTTACTAATGTAAAAAACAACAACAAAAAATAAAATAAAACACTTGTGCTTATGTGTTCAAAAACCAGAGAGGTTGTCTGGGTCACAGAGGAGTTTGGCAGGATTCAGGCAGGCACAAGGAGTTCAAATAAAATAAAGAATTTATTCAAACATAAATAAAAAGCTGGTGTGGCAGAAAAACAACACGGGGGAAACAGAAGACCTAAGGCTTATTTCTCAAAAGACAGTTTTATACATCCAGGATATCAGCTGTAAACTGAGCTTGAACAAGCATTCAAATTGTAAACAGCTTTAATCAGTAGCTCTAACATTAAGACTCTCATGGTGCGTTCACACCAAACGCGATTTCAGCGTCAAAATAGCTTCCAACGCTTCAAGTTGGACGCTTGTGGTCAGACGCGAGTCAAAATTGCTCTTGAAGTGCTCGATGCGCGTCGAGAGCCTCCCCGCCCCCTCCCTCCTCTGTCGGTCTCTGTTTATAATGTCGGATGAAATAAAGGAAGTGACTTTGCTTTATTTACTGAGTGCAAAGAATGTCACGCACATCAGAAAATTAATTCATAATTAATTCACTAGATAATTTAGAGATGTTCTAAGTTTAGTGAGTTTCATCACCCAGGAGCTGCGAGCTGACTCGAGGCTCGGAAATATTTTTGTGCTGTCTAGTTTGATGAGCTGCTGACCCGCGTCTGTGCTGATATCTGCTGCCAGGACGACGACTGTAGGCACTTGATTTCAGCTAAACAGCTCCTGTCCATCTGTCTCAGGTTAGTGGACATCATTCTGTCCCGTCAGAAAATCTGTCACTACGTCACACAGTGGAGTCTCTCTGATTGGTTGACGCGACGCGTCGAGCTGCAACAGTTCAGATTTTCCAATTTCAGCGATATGCACATCAAGCGCGTCAAATGCTCAAATCGTTCAAATCATGTCGCTGCGAGCCCGAGCCGCAGCACTTTCCGACTCTGCTTGATGCGCGTCCATCTTAGACTTTGCATGTAAACCTGATGCTCCTGAGGCTGAAATCGTGTTTGGTGTGAACGCACCATTATGCTGCGTTCACACCAAATGCATTTTGAGCGTCAGTAAAAAGATCACTAAAATCAATATTTTTTTACAGGCTGGTTAGGGATGTTTTGACAGAGTCATATTGTTATACATTCTTTCAAATGTCTGACGTTCAAATTTCGTGCAGCTAGCACTTTCCTTTCTCAAGTTATGACTAAAATTAATCTTAAAAAAACATGTTGCTTCCTGCCCAACTCGACCAAACTACTCCCCGCCTCAACCAGTGAGAGAAACTCCACTGTGTGACGTAGTGACACATTTTCTGACGAGACAGTTTCCTGAATGATGTCCATTAACCTGAGACAGACGGACAGGGGCTCTTTAGCTGAAATTGAGTGTTGAGGGAATCGGCATCCTGGCAGGAGATATCGGCATCAATGCAGGTCAGCGGCTCATCAAACTGAGCTCGGGACCAAAATAGTTCTGAAAGTGAGCCTCGAGTCAGCTCGCAACTCCTGTGTGGTGAAACTCACCAAACTCAGAACGTCTCTGAATTATCTGGTGAATTAATGATGAATCAATTATCTGAAGAGCGCGATGTGCTCTTGCTCTCTGTAAATAAAGCAAAACCACTTCCTTTTTTTAATCCACCATTAAACAGAGACTGGCAGAAGAGGGGGAAAAAGTCAAAATTGCTCAAAATTGTCTCTCGATGCGTCAAGCGAGTCTAAGTTTTGAGTCCGACCTCAAAGTGCAAAAGCGTCCAACTTGAAGCTTTGGACGCAATTTTGATGCTGAAATCGTGTTCGGTGTGAACGCAGCATCAAACGCCAGCTGTAAATCATTTAGGATTAATGCACGTCCACTGTTTACTTACTAGACCTATTGGATCACAGATTTCCAGATCTGGGGTCTCATTTATAAAGGATTGCGTGGAAACCATACTAAAAGTGAACGTACG